ACATTACGCCGAGAAATGGAGATAGACATGAGAAAAATGAACAAGAATTGGATGGAATTAGAAAAGAAGGCCCAGGACAGAGTGAGTTGGAGAATGCTGGTCAGCGACCTATGCTCCATTGGGAGTAACAGGCGTAAGTAAGTAAGTAAGTAACTGTTGGAATCTATTTCTGGACTAATACAATACACATACTTTTATTTGTATAATTGTTACTTAACTAAATGATCTGGATATTCGTGTTCCTCTTATCACAATCTTTATTTTGACCCATAGACTATTACTATACGATTTACCATTCTTAAGTTATATCCAGTCTACCAATCACTATCTACCACATTCACAGCCACTTTTGAGCTAGGTGCTATACAAATGTTGTTTTCTATTTTATGGTGTGATGTGGTCTATTTGGTTAGTATATAAACCCAATATGTTTGAAATAGATGATTGATATCGCAGAGGCTGAGATTGATATTCTGGGTTCAACAGGCAGGCAGGACTAGTCAGGAAGCTGGACTGATTAGAACTTTAGACTGCTTGTATGTGTTTTATGTGTCATTCATCCGATCGACAAATCATTGTTCTCTAATTGGCGGTATCAGTACGTCATATATATATATTGATAAGGGCATAAGATCACAAGTTATAACCATAACAAACTGGATTGATGACTACGTTGAACAAAATTAACAAACACTTTTATATGGGAATTTCATAAACGAAGTAGTAAATTTGTTTCTTTATGAACCATTATCTTTATTTTAATCAAGAAAATTAGTTCACTTAATGTTGTTTTACTTGAATCTTCCCATTGATGTTTAGGACTGAAATTGATCAATCTCTTACTGGCATATACGCTTATACTGTGCCATATTGCCTCGATATTGTCCTAATTCCCAAGCATTATAAGCAAGGATGGATAGTGGTTAGCAGTGGTAGTTAAGTAGATAACACAATGGCGTTGGAAGCGAACGGTACTAATTTGGAGTCCCAGGGTGAACATCAACTGTGAGATGCGAGTACATTTAGCTGACGAGTCCCAAATAGTACGAAATGCACATCCTGTATTCCACTGCTAGCCACTATCCATCATTGCTTACAAGAAAATTAATATATTTTTCTTAAACATTGTAAATGCTGAGTATATAGTAATGCGTCTAAGCTAATGTTGATGGTAAATCATTTGTTAAACAAGGATCATCATTTATTCTTTTAACAATATAGACCAGAATTGATAACTTATCCAGTGATAAATGATGGTACATCCGTATGATGAATCCAGGAGAGAGAGTCGAAATACGTATCTTGGATTATACTGTAGCCTGAAATGTATCTATTCTATAAAAAAAATTTTGTGTCAGTTTGTCCGTTATCGTACAACTACCAACGAAATGGCATATTTTCTTCGCTTTTGATGAAACTGAATTTTGACTACTAAGCCGGTACATAAGTCATTTGATCTGTCTGAGGGCTGAGATACTGCCCAAATGCCCAGATCGAATCAGACGGTTTTCTTAAGGAGGCTCACTTCGAACCTTTGACCTAAAGGTTTGATCCACAAGTCAGTGGAGCAATGTAAGGAAATGCAGTTCCATGGTAGCCGGTGACCAACAATAGCTTCATACGCCATTTTTTCCCTAAGGATACTGGAGTCCATGTTCATCATTGGTTTGTAATCAGAGGTTTCCAACTTTTCGAGGTGGATCCTCTATATCCACCAACCCGGTTGAAGCACCGGAATTCGCTATTCGTCCCCTGATAAAAGACAGCGGTGTCCCGAGAAGGTAGCAAGTAGGACTTCTCTGGCAGTGGCAGTATACGCATGCCTATGTGAGAGCATTTCGAGAGGGAGAGTTGAATCTATCCACTCTCGGCCGTATCAGGGCATTTGGGGGGTGGATAATGATGTTCGTTTATCTGATTCACGAGTTATATCATTAAGTTTGGTTGACTGACACAACTTAGTCAGATCTGAAAGTTACTGACAATTTAGTTAAATATGAGAAGTTTAAATTTTTGAGTGGGAACCAGTTTCCTTAGATTTACAAATACATCCCTATGATTCTTAATTCTAACACAAATATAAATCAAAAATTCATTGAGTTTTTCAAAGTTACCTATAAAACTACATTGAATAACTTTAACATAAATATCAAGATTTTCACTTTAAAATGTAGTGAATCGGAAAAACTAATGTTTATACAACATATGCTCATTATTGCCTGACTTCAAAAGGTATTTCCTGGAGTTCTAGTGAGAAGCAGTTACCAGTGGAGTTCAACCGGGTCAGTTGTAAGATAATAACTCACTGGAGACAATGGTGGATGTGACACTTAATTTATTGGATTAGTTGAAGTTAGACATTAGCATCGTTGGATACCGGCTAGCTCAGTGATCTAGTGGTTGAACGCTCGCTCGTGAGACTGATAGGTCCTAGGTTCGAGTCTCACGAAGCGACATCGTGGATGCGCTCTGCTAAGGAGTCCCAAAGTCGGATGAAACGGCCGTATAGTGCTTCCGGGTTTTCCATGGTGGTCTAGCTCCATTTGACTCATGATCTCAACCATTGACATTACTATAATATCCACATAACACTTCTGATATGATTATTCTTTTAGTTTAGCATATTTTTTATTCTTGATAGAATTCGATCAGGACTAAAGACTGAACAAACTTAGCATTGATCATTATACAATGGTCAATTAATCGTCAATATCTTAGTCCTGAAGGAATTTAATTATAGTCCTAATAACATTTCACAAATAAAAATCACACAAGGAATACCAATCCTTCAAGGCTGGAGATACGGCTTAGTGATTATTATTATTATTATAATCTTTATTCAATATTATATTCTTGGTACAATTTAGAATTCTCAGCACAAAGTATTTCAGCGGATTTGCTTTTCTTATTTCTTTATGGATTCTGACGATAGCATATTGAGTAGTCGCCAGTTAGATATTCACAGTTCGGGAATTGACATATGATTAATTTACATTCTTTTCGATGTATATTGTCAGCAACTACAATGTCTCTGTGATTGTGATATTTCCTAACTTGTACACTGAAATGTCGTCAACTTTTCACAAACGCACCTGAATAGGTTAGGCGACTAAAACAAACAAGATATCAGATAACTTGTTTAAATATCTAAATAAATGGTAGGAACAGGTAGCGCAGATATTCAACCAGGTCGTCTTGATACTGATGACGAGTGTGGTAAACATTAGGAAACCTTAATCAATCAGGATTTTCTTATAGACTGTTATGGATGCGCAGAATAGACCAATAATTATCATGTTAAGTCCAACGGTGTCCTTGGACTTTAAATGGACATTTCCTATTGGTCATTATTTATTTCACTTGTTAAATATTGTGTAAATGTTGTTTTCCGTTTTATGGTACGATGTGGTATGTTTGGTTAGTATATAAATAGAGTATGTCTGAAATACAATGATTCATATCTCCGAGGCTGTGACTTGTGTTCTCGACTCAACTGACTGGGCTAGACAGGGAAGCGAGTCCAATCGAACTCTAGGCCGTTTGTTCGTGTTTACGTGTCACTGTAATCGATCGATAAGTGCGCTGCTCTCTAATTTTCCAGTCAAGGACACAACAATTAGCACAGGGTAAAAACCGACCGCAACATAAATTCGTAACATAGACTACCTTCCATTATTTAATATAATAACATTAAATGACTTAATCATGTCAAAGTATATTTGTTCTTTTCTACATTCAATTCATTTTGATCATAATCTACATTGAACATATTCATTAATCTTAATTTCACTTTTCATTTTTCAACCATGGTGAAATCTTCCATTTGAACGATCGATTATTTCGGAGGGAGGAAGGGAGGCGGTGGCAACTAACCATCTCATCTACTTACAAATTAGACTTAATATTAAGAATAGAATATAAAAATTTTTGGGTAATATGAAGTTAATTTCTACCTAGTAATTATAAATAAACATCCCTATTTGTATTCACTTGATAATGTTTTAGTTGTATCTTCCCATTGATGTTTTAGGACTGCAATTGACCAGTCTCATGTTAGTATATGTGCATCCTGTGAGGAATGCCTCGATATAGCCTTAAGTCACAAGTTTTTTTAAGCAAAGATGGATAATGGCTAGTAGTGAAATCTATTTTGAAGTGCGTTTCATCCTACTTGGGACTCTTCCACTGAATGTACCTGCATCACAGACTTGTTGATGTCCAATCCGGGACTTGAAACCCATTACACAAGCAGGTGGCTAAGTGCATAATACGATGGCGTTTGAAGTTAACGTTACTAAGTTCGAGTCCCAGAGTGAATATCAACAAGTCTGTGATGCAGGTACATTCAGCTGATGAATCCCAAATGGGACGAAACGTGCTTCAAACTAGATTCCATCTTTGCTTTAAAAAAATCCCATTTTCAGAAAAAAGTCAAATTCCATGTCAATAATTTGTGGGTTTTCCTTTTTCCTTTTTTTTTAGTAAAAGTTTTTTTTCGTTTGGATTACAAATAATCACAATCAATTATGTAAATAGATATGAACCATTGACCTTGGAGGTCACACTTAATGTTGATTGGCTGAAATTCTGATTGGTTGATTTTAATGACCAATCAAAATCAAATGGAATAATAGTATTTAAATATGACCATTCAATGGGGGGAGGGGGTGGGCATGTTATTTTGTTGTTGTTGCAAAACTACATGAAATATTACATAATTATAGTAACCTTAATTCATTCATGGAAATAGACTTTGATGTTTAAACAATTTACATTCAATATAATCAATTACAAATTCATCTAGGGATATGAATTGTATTCAACAACATTAAAACATAAATCTATCTACTATTATTTAATTCAGTTAGTAACAACTTATTTATACATAAATACATCATCATCACCGGCATCAGCAACGCCAACAGCAACAACATCAAGTCATTGAAGATAGAAGTTGATATTTTCTGAAGTTCTAGAAAAAAGAAAATCTTCAAATAATAATGTCAATTAAAACAAATCATCCACAGATTATCTTATATTGGATGGAATTGGTTAGTTTACATTCTATTTACTTTGTTTTGTTTTTTGTTAGTTGTGGTAGTGGTGGTGGTGGTGGTGTTGGGGAGATATACAAAAAAGTACTTCAAGATTAGTAGCAACTATCAATGTGGTTTTTTTTGGGGGGGGGGAATTTTACTTTATTGGATACACAAGTTCTCTAATCCTACAGTTTTCCTTAGAACTTTACTATTGGGATAAGAAAGTTCTGTTCTAAGAAATTAGTTAGACTGATTTCTGTTTACCTAATTATGTACATAATGATTGTAAAGAAACTATGATGGAGAAGATTGGTAACTCAGGTAGATGATTTTGATGAAGTTTTATTCTATGAGCTGGATGGTTTGATTGTGAAGTTTTTATTGTTCTTCTGAACAATATCATCAGCATAACATTGAGGTTTACAGGACAAACTATAAGTCATATATGGAGAAATTTGAACATTTCAATTTTATCTGAAGTTTGTGGTGATGATGTCGTTTAGAAGAACGATGAAAGTTCAAAAAGATCAAATCATTCAGCTTACAGAAGAAAACTCCATCAAGGAAACTTTAATTTTGTAGTCGTATATCACATTTTGAAAATTGGCAGAATTACTTCACTATAATGGATTACAAATCTAGATAATGTAAACCTATTCAGTTTTTATTATTAATAATAATCCAATAACCTGTATACATAACTACAACTGGCTGTGTAATATGATGTCTTCCTTTGAGGAAATAGTCAAACTGATAATCTCTTCCCGTTGCACAATAATACATAAGGTACATTTTTAAGCAAAGATGGGTAATGGTTAGCGTTGGAATCCAGGACGCGCTTTTCGTTCTATTTAGGACTTGTCAGCTGGAAGTATGTGTATTTCAAAGTTGAAGTTCACTCTGGGATTCAGATCAAGTGTAGTAAACGAGGATACAAGTGGGGAAAATCGAATGAATTTGAAAGTGGAATTACAGAACGTCTTAGTAAAATCTGAGAAACATACAGTAAATACTTCATTTGCAAAATATCAATTAGTTGGCTCAAAATTGACTGTTCCTTTTTCAAATATCAGTCAATCGTCTCGCACTTCAATATTCCTGCATTTTCATACTATTTGCTTACTGTTCCCAATCTTTCCATTTCGATCTTCTGCTACCAGACATTCTATTCCTGACTATCATTATCTACTACTCATGTCAATATTAGTGGCACATACCACACGTCCCCCCCCCTTTAAAGTAGCCGTTCGTGCGGTGGTTCTACTCACCATGCTACTTTCTTCTTTCCTTCAGTCTGTGCCATATTTTCCATTAAAATGTCGAGTTTGCAGCGCGCTGACCTCCATAGTTCCGTCGACTTGCTGGGCCATCTACACCCAATGGGTATAGAACATTCATTAATATCCTTCAATAAACATGTCAAGTATTATTCATAATAATAGAAAATGTTTAAGTGATTATATTTAATTGCTTGATTTCATTTATTTTGTATAAATGACATTCTAATTTACATAAAATAGGTGATCAAGTGATCAGATATATCTCATGAAGAGTTCAAACGAATCAAGTTTTATCTGACAGTTCAGTTCAAATGTTACTTGAATAATTCATTGTGTAAATTAAACATTAGTGCCTCCCCCCCCCAAGTGCTCTGGTACGGCTGAAGTTGACGAGAGTTCACTCTACTTCTAGAAATACTCTCTACATGACCACATACATGCAACCATTCCCAAGGATGTCCTACTTACTTCCTTTTTGTCGAGAGGATGTGTTGTATACGAAATCGAGAGGACAGAAAAACGAATGTCTGTCGCTTTAACCGGGTCAGTGGACACGGACAGTTCACCTAGTTTAGTTGGAAAACTCTGATTACAAACCAATGATGAACATGGGCTCTAATATCCTTAAGGAACAAATGACATATGAACCTATTGTTGGTCACCGGCTACCATGGGACTGCATTTCCTTACATTGCTCCACTGACTTGTGGATCAGACCTTTAGGTCAAAGGTTCGAAGTGAGGCTCCTTAATAAAACCACCTGATTCGATCTAGTCATTTGGGCAGTATCTCAGCCCTCAGAGAGATCAAATGACTTATGTGACACATATCCATTTGGTGCCTCCTTGTACCAATGTTTATGTGTTTAAATTAAATAAATAAAATATTGAATGTTGTAGTTTACGACATTTAGGATACTAAGGTTTGTAATCAACATACGCATATTTCCTGAAGCCATCTCTGGAAACCCTAATAAACAACCTATGTACTTTTCATCATAAGGACAGATGAACGGATATATGTAATTAAGCTGGTCAGTCATAATAACTCATCTGTTGTACAGAGTCTACAGAATATTGGGTTCCATAAAATCTTTTTCAGACTAACTGTTTAAACGACACAATCTCTTCTTTACATATGTTACAACAAGCTATGAATCATTTACATTCAATTACTAAATAATTTGATAAGCAAGTTCCCAGTCAGTCAGTCAGTCAGTCAGTTACAACGTAGGACCAGGCATATATATATGTATCGGTCAAGTTGCCATACCTCATTAACACAACAAGATGAACACCGAATTCATAAAAGTAGTTAATTCAATAGTGGTACTATATAAAAGAAAGATTCTATATTACGATATAGTACAGGAAGAGAGATATAAAGTGATTTTAATCTCCTAGTTTAAGGGATGACAGAGAGTGTATACACCGACACTATTATGTTTGATTCTGAACCACCATCTATTGTAATAATATTCATTATCATTTAACAATTAATTTATGAAATTATTCTCCCCTATTTTTGTTAAATCAAATAAAGATACTTTTTTTAAGTCTTGATTATTGCGCCTTTTTTTGTTCAATGTTTCGATATATATATCTATCTATTACTTACTTACGCCTGTTACTCGCGATGGAGTAGAGGCTGACGACCTGCATTCACCAACTCATTGTCATGAGCCTTCCTTTCTAGTTTTATCCAATTGTTGTTCATTCTTCTTATGTTTGTCACCATTTCTTTGTGTCATGTATTCTTTGTTCTTTCTCTTCTTCTATGGTCTTGAGAATTCCAAGTGAAGGCTTGCCTTGTGACTCAGTTGGATGTTTTTTAAATATATATGTCCTATCCACTTCCAACGTTTCTTCGTCTTGATTTCTATCTCCATTGTAATCTGGTTTATTCTATTCTACAATAGGTTGTTGCTGATAATGTCTAGTCAATAGATTCAAAGTAGTATTTTTGTTGTTTTGTTGTTGTAGACAACTATTCATAAACACTTGTATCTTTTGGATAATTGGCTTTCATAGTTCTCTAAATTTCCATCCTATACAATAGAACTATCTATCTATCCATATCTAATATGAAGTTATTCCTATAGAATGAATTGTCAATCATATTTGTATAAAATGTCTATCTGATTAATGAAATTAAATAGAGAAACACAATACAATTGGGTGTATCCATAATCTTCGAATGATATTCCCTCAAATAATAATAATAATAGCTGTGTTTAGTTGATTATCTATATTCTATGAATAGTTAATATATTTATATTCATAGTTGCTTTGGTTACCTAGAAAGAGTATCCACTTTGTGATTTGTGAAAGAATTCATCTCTCTGTGTTCTTCCAAATTCTAATCTTCTGAATTCTTCATGTTCCTTCCTTTTTTCTCTTTCCAAATTTATTTCACTGGATTATACTCTTTAAATAACATTTCCAAACCCTAATCTTCCCGATTACTGCTTATACTCTTATTACCTCTACCACTACGGGATTTGAATCGATCACTGCATCTCTGTGCTAATGTGGTGTGGCAACTCGAACTGATGTACGTACATACGAAGTTCTACGTTGTTACTGACTGACTGACAATTATATGATTGATTCACTAATCGAAATATGATTTATACAAGTTTAGTATTTATACCAAACGAATGATATTCAATTAGTATGTGTAGCCTAGAATCATTATTGATTTTTTTGTTCTCTTAACCCTTCTTCTCATTGAGTCCAGAACATGAATATCAGCTTTTACTATCATTTACTTACTTACTTACTTACTTACACCTGTTACTACTTGTAAAGGAGCATAGGCCACTCACCAGCATTCTCCATCTAACCCTGTACTGGGCAGTCCTTTCCAGCTCCTTCCAGTTGTTATTCATCATTTTCATATCTGATTCTATTTCTTGACGTAATGTGTTAGTTGGTTTTCCTCTTTCCCGTTTCCTATCAGGATTTCAAGTTAGGGTTTGCCTTGTGATGCAGTTTGATGATTTACGTAATGTATGTTCTACCCATTTCCCGAATTTCCTCTTCACCTGGAATCTGGTTTTTTCTCTCCCAAAGCAGGCTGTTACTGATGGTATCCGGTCAATGGATGTTGAGTATCTTGCGAAGACAGCTATTTATAAATACTTGCACCATCTTGATGATAGTTGTAGTAGTTCTCCAAGTTTCAGCTCCGTACAGTAGAGCTGTCTTGACGTTCGTATTGTTTTCCCCTTGTGTATGTTGAGGCCTACAGACACCGAGACTGCTGCTACACTAGTTGTCTTCATCTGCGTTTGTTCGTGTTTATGGGATAGGAGGCCTACGTCATCTGCGAATTCTAAATCGTCTAATTGGTTCTCAGCTGTCCATTGTATTCCATGTTTTGCCTCAGATGTCGAGGTTTTCATAAGCCAGTCTTCCACCAGAAGAAAGAGGAAGGGAGAGAGTAGACAGCTTTTTCTGACTACAGTCCTTACTTGAAATGCATCTATTAGCTGTCCTTCATGCACGACTTTGCACAGGAGTTCAGCTTTTACTATACAAATCATTTATTTCAAACATATTTCGTTTTATATTATACCAGTCAAACAGACTATATCACATTATAAAATAAGGCATAGCATTTATGAAAGATCAAGCCAAAGAAGTGACTGTGAATGTAAGAGATTGGAACTAATAGTTTAGGGGATATTTTAAGAATAGTAAATCCCATAATAATAATCTATAAGTCTAAATGAATCTTATAATGAAAGGAATATAGATAGATATACTTAATCTAATTATTGAATAGTTATACAATAAGAATATATGTATAGCATTAATCTATGAATAGTTCTCAGACGTTACTCATAATTTAATCTTTCCTAGGATATAATAATTAGTGTTTTATTTAAGCGAATTCATTTCCTATAAGATAAGATCTCTAACCTCATATCTAATCTTTCTACATAAAGATTTGGAATTCAACTCAAAGAAGAATATGAACTTGATATTCTATACTGAATAATTAATAAGTAGTCATTAACTTCTAGTCTGAATCATGTTGGGAGATGCAGACTACTTGGTTGGGATCCACGTGACAATCGTAACCAATGAGTGGAGACTCTTGGTGACATGGTTCAGAATCGATCACAATGGCGTCGGTGTATACACTCCAGGTCTTCCCTTAAACTAAGAGATTAAAATCACTTCATATCTCTCTTCCTGTACTATATCGTAATATAGAATCTTTCGTTTATATAGTACCACCATTGAATTCACTACTTCTATGAATTCGGTGTTCATCTTGTTGTGCTAATGAGATATGGCAACTTGACCGATGCATATATGTGCCTGGTCGTATGTTGTAGCTGACTGACTGAGTCATGAATATCATGTTTATTGAAATGTTTAAATCACTTTAAGTAGTCCATGGAATACATCTTTAAGGCGAACGTTTTGCTTTAAAATAAAAACCGATCAAAATGTTCACATGATCACGATAATAATGATCAATCTATTTACTGATCATGTTCATTCAGTTACTTGACACTTTATAGTAAATGTTATTATTTCTGATATGTCTTTTTAATTGAACGCTAGATTCGATTTCCCAAGGTCTTCCTCCTAGTAACTCCTTTACACAGCGACTTGAACATGAGGGGAAAAGAGCAAAATATGGAAGAAAACGATTTACTTCAAAGTTCCTTTATGTACAGAAAATATAGAGTATTTATAGCAATTTTAATGAAAACCTTACTTACGATTACTTACGCTTGTTACTCACAATGGAGTATAGGCCACCAACCAGCATTCTCCAACTCATTCTCGCCTGGACCTTCATTTCCAGTTCGATCCAATTGTTGTTCATTTTTCTCATCTTTGTCTCTATTTATTGGTGTAATGTGTTCTTTGATTTTCCTTTCTTTCCTTTGGTCTTGAGCATTTCATGTAAGGGGCTTGTCTTGTGACGCAGTTGGGTGCTTTCCTCAATGTGTGTCCTATCCACTTCCAATGCTTCTTGTTGATTTCTTCTTCTGCTGCGATCTGGTTTGTTCGAAAATATGGGGTATTTATGACAATGTAGATGTCCTTAGGTTTCCCGAAAATTCTGAAATGCTACTAAACATAGTAGCAATATAAATACCTATTATCCAATCAGTAATCCGACATGTGACTTTTTACTTACCAGATGTGATTAGATGGTGGTTGGAGGTAGTCGACAGGAAACCCTGGACACAGGTTTCGTGCTACTTGGCACTCGTCAGCAAGATGTACCTGTAATCTTTGAGGGAACTGGTACTCCCGAACGGATTCGATCCCGTGTCGCTCAGCTTCACAGTTAGAGACGTTACCACTAAGCTATCTGGGTCGTGACCGACCTCCTGTAAGACTTTCACTTTCCAGATGTTTCTGACAAAACTTCTATTGAATACTGATTAGATAAGATGTTTCTCAATGTTTTTTTTAAGATCCTTATTTTCAACCGATCTTTTCTTTGAGGAGTTTTCTACATCTTCTGATACAATTCTGTTGATTCTAATAGGAAAAAAAACCCACCAAAAAAGTGTATAAATCACTTAGAAACAATGTAAATTTAATTCTCATTATTTGAATTGACCGCAAATTAGTTTTGTTTTTTTAATTTAAATTATCCGCACATTTATTGACTGTTATTATCATTCAAGGTCATCTAAATAAATGATAATTTCCCAGAGGTTAATGTAAACATAATAAGCCTATAAGTAAAGAAGAAGAAGAAAAAACAAACAATCAATAAGGTCCAAATATTGATTAATTGATTAATTAATCAATAAAATAATGGGCAAATGTTTTTTTGTGGATACACAATTATGTGTTACATAATAAATGAATATAGAAATTCTTATTTCAGATGGGTTTTTTTGGATATTAAAGTAATTTCAATGGTTAAGATCATGAGTCAGTTGAAGCTAGACCATCATGGAAACTTGGAAGCACTAGATGGCCGTTTCGTCCTAGTGTGGGACTCCTCAACAGTGCGCATCCACGATCTCGCCTCCTGCGAGATTCGAACACAGGACCTACTGGTCTCGCGAGCGAGCACTTAACCACTAGATCACTGAGCCAACCGGCATTCAATGGTGTTAATGTCTAACTTTAACTAATCCACGAAATTGAGCGACACATCCACCATTGTCATCAGTGAGTTACTATCTCACAACAGACCTGGTTTCTCAAATAAATCTTAATTAAATTACAATTATTAGAAAGGGATTTTATGTAGTTTAATAATTCAATAGTTGATTAAAGTTAGAGTAGTATGGAAAAGTATAAAGTACTGGAAGGTTGTTTTTTTGTCCTAATATGGGATTCCTACAGGAGTGTTTATCCATAATCTTGTTCGCGAGATCCAAACTCAGAATCTACAGTCTAATATGTAAACATTTAACCTCTAGATCAATGAGCCACGGTTGATATTCAGTGGTGTTAATATTTAACTTTAACCGATCTAAGAAATCATGACATCGTTCACCATTGTGTTCAATAAGTTACTATCTCACAACACACATGGTTAAAATCCAGTGAGAGGAGTACCATACTAAGGTAAAATGGTCGTCTAATGTTTTTCAAGTTTTCCATGGTGTTCCAGCTTTAATTGACTCATGAATTCTTACTAAAAAAAAGAACAATTAATTGTTTAATGATAATTATAGTCGTCAATTAGTCATTTACAATGTAATTGACTTCTAATAGAAGTATATTCGGCAAGACTATCATTTATAGACGAACCAATCAGGTATAAGATGATAGGTCTCGGAGTTTGGCGCGAAATTCATTCATCCAATTGACTAAATAGAGTTTTGGTATTATAACTGATGTCAGTACGTGATAAAACCCTAAATGCAATTCCTAACGCATAACTATCAACTGTAAATGATAATTCTAATTCCTCATACTAATTTATAACCTTCATTTGGTCCTAGTTATTAGATGGACACTTTAAAGGTCAGTTTAGCGTCCTTCAAAGGTTGTCCATTAATTATAGTCTCACCGGATAAATGACTAATAAATGTTGGGGACGTTAGATCCCCAGAACTCACCTGGGAAAGGCCTTATTTTGTAATTTTATTTATAAAGTTTGAATTTTTTTGTTTTCGCGCCAAAACGCTCTTGTCACCTTCATGTCATATTTCCCACTTGGGAAATATCTTAAATGTTATTGGTCCGTTGCGTCTTTTAGTATGCTATTTGGTAATTCTCCCCAAGGACGGTTTTTTACTGTATATATACATTTTGAATTGTGTTTGTTGTTATCACTCGTTTCTGGTTGTTTGCAGAATATACTTCCCCATTCCAAGCTTGTACTTCTCTCTCTAGTTAGCGGGCTGGGACGCATCAATAGCTAGTTTACTGGTCTTTCGTCATCGAGTCTTGTTTCTAGTTTGCAGATTAAGTGAAATCGTGATAGCTTCAACCTAGTAATAAATAAACATAGAAACAAAAATTAAACCAATGGGAGATATAACCAAAACAAAAGAAGTAAACAATGACAGATTTAAGATCAATAAGAACCAATCAACATCAAGATGTACGGGATGAATTGTGAACCATATGTGGAGAGATTCGAACACATCACTTCTACGTGAAGTTTGTAATGCTAATGATGTCGTTCAGAAGAACAATGAAAGCTCCCATGATCAAATCATCTAGTTCATAGAACATAACTCTATCAGAATCATAGTTTTATGTGGATGTTCTGAATTATTCTTAATAAAATTTCATCTCTCCTTTATTTCACGTAGATCCTTGGTATAATTTGTATTGCATTAGCTGGAAGAGGTTATCATGTAATAGGCTTTCAATATTTAATTGGAATTGGAACATTTTCAGCTATTGGAAATATTGTCTTTTTATTAATGTATGGTTTTGCTACAACAAGACCATTAAATGGTCGATCAATATTAAAATTAATTGTAAGTTCCAGTTTTTTTTATTTAATCAACAAAACTTTTTAAATGATACACATTCACTTGATATTGTTGTTTTAATTGAATCTTCTCATTGATGTTTAACACTGTCATTGATCAGTCTCTTATTAGTATATGTCCATTCTTTGTGTAGATTGCTTCCATGTAGCCTTAAGTCACAAGCATTACAAACAAAGATGGAGAGTGGCTAGCAGTAGAATGCAGAACGCGCGTTTCGTCCTATTTGGAATTCGTCAACTCGGCATACTTACATCGCACAGTTGATGTTCATTCGTGGACTCGAACCCAGTACCGTTCGCTTCAAACATCATCTTGTTATCCACTTAGGCTACTGGGTCCTCATAGTCATTCGATTGTGTAATGGGATGAAGTTTAAATTCACTTAGTGTTGTTTTACTTGTATCTTCCCATTGTTATTTAGGACTGCAATTGATCAGTCTCATGTTGGTATATGTGTATCGTGTGCAGATTGCCTCAATATTACCTTAATTCACATGCAGTCTAAGCAAAGATGAATAGTGACTAACAGTGTAATCCAGGATGCGACTTTCATCCTATTTCAAATTTACTTAAAAGAAGTATTCAACAGATATTTATTTTATAAAACTGGAACATTTTAATTCTTATCGAAGTGATTCTTGGTATGATTAAATAGATTAGAATCATAGTAAACAAACAGATATATTTGTTATGATTTCTCATGATGACAGTGTATGTTACTATTATTAGTATTGTAGTGAATGAGAACTCAAATAGGGACAATCTCTAACCTTAATCTTTCCAATTACTACTTATACTTTTACTACCTCTACCAATATGGAATTTGAATCGACAACTGCATCTCTGTACTAATATGGTATGGCAACTCGAATTGATATACGTACGTACGAAGTTCTACGTTGTTACTGATTGATTGATTGAAAATCTGAGGATCATACATTAAACATTTCATTTGCGAAATATTAATCAATTTTCTCAAACTTGACTATTCTTTCTGTAAATGTCAATCAACCGTTTTGTATTTTCATACCAATTACTTTCTGTTCTCATTCTTTCCTCTTCGATCTTCTCAACTGTCTGCTACCAGGCATTCTATTCCGGACTAGCATTATATACTACTTATGTCTTAATAAGTAGTACACATCACAGTCTTATATACTGATTTACATAAATACTGTAAGATAATATTAGGCATTTGGTTACACAAAATTATAACTTGACAAACAATAATAATAACCAGTTTAATGTCATAATCATAGAAACACAATTGAATACTTTATTCTGATTAGTTCAATATTAAAAGGAGATAAACCGATAAGATTATCCACATTAGATGGTGGTTGGAGGTAGTCGATAGGAAACCCTTGACTCGAGTTTCGTGCTACTTGGCACTCGTCAGCAAAATGTGCCTGTGATCTTGAGGGAACCGGTGCTCCCTGACGGATTCAATCCCGTGTCACCTAGTTTCACAGTCAGAGACTACCACTAAGCTATCCGGGCCGCAACTAACCTCCTGTAAGACTTAGATGTAATCATAATTGATTGATTACTGAGTGGTGATCAATGTCATGCGTGTCAAGTCCTTATTTAGTGCAGATCGAATGCTATCGACCATGTTGCAATGTGGCCACCAGTCTAAGTGACTCGACATTGCGGGCACTATACATTGAGATTAGATGGTAGTTGACAGGAAACCCTGGTCCGGGTTTCGTGCTACTTGGCACTCGTCAGCAAGGTATACCTGTAATCTTGGGGGAACCGGTGCTCCCTGACGGATTCGATCCCGTGTCACCCAGATTGTTCTAATCACTTCACTTAACTAACAATCTAAAATGTTGATTTGTAAATGAACTACTTTTTAATTAATTTATTAATTGAATTTACAAGTCAATCCAAGCTAGACTATCATGGAATACTTGTAAGAATTAGATGGTCATTTCGTCCTAGTATAAGATTCCTCAGCTGTGCGCATCCACGATCCTTCTCACAGGATTCGAACCTAGGACCTATCAGTCTTTTTATTAGTTCACTTATATAAATTTAAGCAAATAAAGATATAGCAATCTGTATATTGGGACTGAGATCAATTTTAATTCATAAACTAAATGGCTAAAGATGATTTCTGTGAAAGGTAAGGAAGATCAACAAGGTCATCGGGATAATAATAGTTGGTTAGCTACAATATATACTTGACAGCTATTAGATCTGTTCTACTTCAGTTTGAATTTGTTCAACATGATCTACTTTTCTATCGTCGGTATCTTGACAGGAGACTTTCAAGTCTATGACAGTACTATAAAAGTAATTCTTAAAGCATGTGGAATGCTTTGGTTGTGAAAGAGATCGTTTCACTTTAAAATACAAAATCTAGTAGATTAAAACGATTGTATAGATGGTTCCTCTGTAGCTCGTTGACGGTAGCTTGTACATGATGAAGAGTTATAAAGTGAAGAATATTAGTATAATTGGATGAATTAGATTGATTGATCCAAATTTTTTAAACTAAGTATTAGAATAACTTGAAATATGATATGGGATACATCTGATCGTAAATGACTGAATTGCAATATTTTCGACTGCTAGTTGAATAGGTGAAAGATATAACATAGTGCACGCAATGTCGAGTCACCTAGACTATTAGCCACATTTCGATCTGCACTAAGAAGGAACTAACATACATGACATTGATCTCCACTCAGTGATCAATCAATTGTAAATACAGGAGGTCAGTTGCGGCCTGGATAGCTTAGTGGTAAAATCTTGACTGTGAAGCTGAGCGACACGGGATCGAATCCGTCAGGGAGTACCAGTTCCCTCACGTCTACAGGCATACCTTGCTGACGAGTGCCAAGTAACACAAAACCTAAGTTCAGGGTTTCCTGTGTAATAACTCCAACCGTTTATAAGTCTCATACTAGGATGCAACGGTCGTCGAATGTTCCAGGTTTTCCATGATGATCTTCTTGCTTTAATTAACTCATGAATTCAATCATCAGGTTAGATGTTTTCAAAAAAAGAGATAATTCCACAGTAAATAGTGTTTATTTATCTCAGAATCTAATTATTGATTATATCCAAAGATGGATGGTGGTTAGCAGTGGAATGCAGAAACTTGTCAGCTGGATGTAACTTAAGTCATTATCGAAGGAATATGCACAGGATGTTCATATAGCAATAAAAGTATGATCCGTTGCAGTCTTAAACACAATGGAACATGAATCTAACAACAAACTACCATTCTTGGATGTAGTAATAACCAAAACCGACATAAGAAAACTGAGACTCAAGTATATCGGAAGCCCACCCACACAAATCAAATTCTCATTACAGTAGCAGCAACTCAAGAGCTCACAACTACATGCAAACTTTATAAAAGAGGGCGAGGATACACTGAAATACACTTGCAGCACGAAAAATGAAGAAAAATACCTGAAAACTATCGTTCAAAAAAACGGCTACCCAATCAATTCGTTGGAAAATACCAGCTGAATGCATCATCAGAAACAATGTCGAGCATAGAAATCAACAAACGGATCGCCTACCATATATAAAAAGCATATCAGAAACTACAACGAGATTGTTGAAACTTTTCGGAATAGGTGTTGTACACAAACCAACAAAATCACTGCAATCAATCCTATGCAAAAAATACATCTCGACTACAGCCATCAACTGCCTTACTCGGGGATTTTATCGGTTAACTGGCACGTAGTCTTCCTGTAGTGGTGATCATAGTCAAACGTGACTCGACCCCACGCTACAGGCATTAATGTTAGTAGAAAACATGATCTCACTAGATATCATATCTCTGTTCACCTAAGTACCACTATTTAAAACAAATGAATTTATGTACAAGCAAATATCGGAAAAGAAAATCATCATTGGCTTCCTAGGGATAGTCTGAAAGAATTACTGCTAAGATATACTCTGAACGTCCCTTTTGTTTTCCGTAATACTTATTATGAACAAAATGATGGAATAGTTATGGGTCATAGACTTAATTTTAGTTGATTACTCAGTAAAAAGATTAGGAAATGAACTCCCTTAAACTAGATATTTACTGCCGAAATATCGATTACACCACATTCATTATCATAGATCAGAATACTAATAAACATGAACTCCTTAATCAGTTCTGTAGAATACACCTGTTAATCACTTTGACCAGTGAGGATTAGTGTGACCATAAATGGCATTTTACGAATTGTTTCACTTGTATAGAACCTGATTGAAAAATATCGACAGTTCCAAATTTAGATGATTATAGAAAAACTGAATGTAGACAACAGATTGGATGGTTAGTGTAATTCATGAATCACTACTTACTCTAACCATAATGTCAAACATACATTACGTTATAGGGCGTTATCGACTTTAATCAATGATAACTTGACTAATAAACATTAATTAACACAACGATATTGTTGTTACATATCTTAAGCAATGTTTTCGTATTTTGATGGAGTTTTATTCTTTGAGCTGAAAGGTTTGATAGACTTCTATCTGAAGTTTGTGCTGATGATGTCGTCCAGAAGAACAATGAAAGCTTCACGACCAAATCATCCAGCTCAAAGAACAAAACTCCATCATAATCATTCACCTGGGCTACAAATCTCCTACACCATCTCAATGTTTTCGTAGCCATAAACAAGACTGATTGATTGACTTAGGTGTAGAAGTTGATAAATCTTATGATCAGCCTTCTGACTTAATGTTCTCATTTAAGATTTCAGTAATGAATCCGCTAGTGACTTTGTTTATACCGAAATAATTCTTTTGTATACAAGATACTTAAATATTATAACAAAAATTCAGTAATTTCAGTGGTTGAGATCATGAGTCAATTGAAGCTAGATCACCATGAAAAACCTGGAAGCACTGGTTAACCGTTTTGGTCCTAGTATGAGACTTCTCAGCAGCGCGCATCCACGATCCCGTTCGAGAGACTCGAACGCTTTAGAATTTATTGCAAATTACTTTTGAATACAAAACTGTTTATTTTTCTCTACTGATATTCTTTAACTTATTACCCATTGTAATTCATTTTTGTATTTGGTTGTTTAAATCTTCCTATTGATGTTTAGGCTTTCAATGGATCAATACATCATATGCTCACTAGTGACTGGATCCAAGATGATTTCGTGGAGTTCTAATGATAAGCTATGACCAGTGGAGTCTAATCCCTGTCAGGTAAAGACAGGGATTTACCTTAGACGATCGATGAATGATTGCGCAGCCATTCATGGACCGATGGAGGTTCGATATAAACACTGTCGGATGCCGGCTCAGTGGTCTAGAGGTTAAGCGTCCGCGTGCTGGATCGAAGGTCTTGTGTTCGAATCTCGCATGCGCGATCGTTGATGCGCATTATTGAGTCTCGTACTGGGATGAAACGACCGTCCAGTGACTCCATATTTTCCATGGTAGCCTGGCTCACATCGACTCATGAATTCAACTATTAAAGTTAATACATTTCAAACAATCTGATCACACATATACTTGTTAAGATATTTTTATATGAAAACTAAAATGTCAACTAGACAGATTAAAGGTAAGCTATAACAAAACAAAAAAATAAAATACATAGAAACAATGTAATAACCACTCTGGATAATAAATCAGTATTACCAGGGTAGGTTAACGATAATAAC